TTTTTTTTTTTTTTTTTTTTTTTTTTTTTTTTTTTGTACTGGGGATTGAACTCGGGTCCTTGTGCTTGCAAGGCAGGCGGGAGAACCAGAGCTAAATTCCCGGGCCTGAATCTTACATTTAGCTCTAAACACTTGAAAATTTTCTGTGTTTATGTGGCTTTTGTAATAATATATTTGTTTTATGGCTTCATTTGCATATAATGATTGATAGAGATCTGCTTTACCTAATCGATCTAAATGTAGCAGTTATAATTGTAGAGTTATATTCTTAATATACTTGTTTCAAAGTACAACAGTTTTCATTTAAATGTAACTGTATGTTTGTCTTAAATGTACCAATAAACTTAATGGGAAAAAATGAACCACAGTTTTTCAAGAGCGTTTGTTATTTCCATATCACTTTTTAATAGGCAACTAAAGGAAACACTTAGTAATCGAGACCGGGAGATAAGCAGCCTCCGGCGTCAGCTTGATGCAACTCTCAAAGAGCTTGATGAAGTAGGAAAGTCTAGAGAAATATCTTTCAAGGAAAATAGAAGATTACAAGATGATCTGGCTACAATGGCAAGAGAAAATCAGGTATAGATAAAATGTGTAAACCGGTCGTTTCATATTGTTGCACCAGTTTATTGTTTACTAAATTATATAAGCTGTAAATTATTATTTTCTTCTAAAATGTAAAGATACAAATATGAGAACATAACTAATTCTTTAAGGAAAATGGTATTTGTCAGGGTATTAAAACCTGCTGTCTCTTGGGTGCAACTTAGTTGTCACCATTTTGGTCTTGTAAAGCTGGGAGCTTGGAATTCTTTTGGCAGAAGTCATTGTCATACTGTGGGCAGTCCTGAGTATCACTCACAGTGATTTCTGAATTTTAAGGACTTTTGACAGGTTTTAAGTATATGTGCTTCTTTTGGCTTTGACATACATTTGTAAATAAATTGGTGAATATTTTAGAATAGCAAACACTAGAAGGTAGTGACTTTGTACTGATTTATTAAATCATACCAAGAAGACCAATTATTTTAAATATTTTATGTTTTAAACATTTCTTTCAATGTATTTTATATATTTCATAGAGCATATTGCTAATATGGGCATATATGATAGTCAACTTTTGACTATCACTAGCCCTTCTTGTAAAGATATTTGGTCAGGACTGTTGTAGGAGATATGTGGCAAAGATGTCTTTAAAATTTAGTATCCACTAGGAAAAATATGTAAAAAAATAACCTTTTAGAACAGTTTTCCTTTTTTACTACTCTCTCATATCTCTAATTCCAAAGGAACCATTTGACTATAAGCCTACATCATTTAGCATATCGTGTTTACCTTAGAACTCTCTTCAATATCTGATTGTAGGAAATCTCATTGGAATTGGAGGCAGCAGTCCAAGAAAAAGAAGAAATGAAAAGTAGAGTTCATAATTACATAACTGAGGTGTCCCGATGGGAGAGCTTAATGGCTGCTAAGGTGAAAAACATTGCTTGGGTTGGATTGAAGACTGATTTTTCTCATTTTTGTTTATTCTGCCTGGCTTATTTCCCCATAGATCGTAGTATAGTGCCTGTACAGGTATCTGATGCTTCTTAAATTAGAACAAAATTCCCAATGTGTGTGTTCTCTATGAATGATAATTTACTAATTTTAAAAATAATTTCATTGTGATTAAACCAGGAGCAAGAAAATCAAGATTTGTTAGACAGATTCCAGATGCTTCATAACTGTGCTGAAGACTGGGAGATCAAAGCCCATCAAGCTGAAGGAGAAAGCAGCTCAGTCCGACTGGAACTTCTTTCTATTGACACAGAGAGAAGACACCTTCGAGAAAGAGTGGATCTACTAGAAAAAGAAATTCAGGAGGTAATACATTCATTTGTCTAGTAAAGGAGTTATTTAGAAAAATAGAAACATTGAAAGATATTTTATTGAAGTGAGGAGATAGCATTGATATAATAAATAGCTCATCAGAGGTAATGTTTTGTCATTAATTCTAATAACTTGCTTAGGAGAGCTCCATTACATTGTTCTACTGTAGTAAAAGATAGGTAACATCAAACATGCCATTTTAACCATCTGAAGTGTACAATTGTATGGCATTAAGTATACTCAGAGTTCTGCAGTGATTATCACCACCCTAGATCCAGTACTTGCTTTTGTTTTTTGGCAGCGTTGGGGGATTGAACCCATGGTAGGCAAGTATTCTACCATAAGCTACATCCCTAACCTCTACCTATTTTTTTTTTAAAGTTTGCAACTGGTTCTGCTGAATTGCTCACACAGGCCTCAAACTTGGAATCCTCCTATGTGGGCCTCCCAAGTAGGTGGAATTACAGGCATGCACAAGCAGGCCCAGGTGTCTCTACTACTTTTCATTTTTACCAGCTAAAACTCTGAACACATTAGATAATGTAGTAATTCTGTCTTCTTCCCTACCCTCAGACCTTGGCATCCACTATTCTATTTTCTGTCTTTGTGGATTTGACTCGAAGTTTATCAGATAAGTGGAATTATATAGTATTTGTCCTTGTAGCTGACTTTTTCACTCACCTCCATTAGTCGTCCATGTTATAGCATATTTCTTTATTTTTTCATTGAATAATATTCCATTATAAGGATATATTGTACTTTGTTTACCCATTCATTTTTTTGATGAATATTTGGTTTGTTTCTTTTTGGATATTGAGAGTAATGATGCTGTGAATGTGGGCAAACAAATATTTGTTCAATTCTTGCTTTTAGTTCTTCTGGTTATCTACCCTAAATTGAAATTGGTAGATTGCATATTAATTTATTGTTTAAATTTTTAAGAAACCATCAAAAGTATAGGGAACTTTCAATTTTAACAAACAGCCAGCTGTGGTATGCATGCTATAGGTTTAATACCACTGATATACAGGAATACTATTGATTTTTGTATATTGATTTCATATCCTACTACATTACTGAACTTGGTTATTAATTGTAAGAGTCTATTGGTGAATTTTTTGGTGTCTTCCATGTAGAGGATCATGTCTGCAAATTCCTTTCATTCAAATGTATACATGTGTGTGTGTGTGTGTGTGTGTGTGTGTGTGTGTATGTATGTATAAAGAACCTGCCCTTTGATTGACTGATTCTTTGTATTGTTATTTTTGGTCTACATTTCACTGATTTTTGCTCTCATCTTTAAATTTCCTTCCTTGTACAAGCTTTCAGTTTGGATTGTTCTTGTTTTTCTAGGGCTGTGAGGTGTATTGTTAGGTTATTTATTTGGGCTTGTTCTGTTTTTGTGATTAGGGCTTCATTACTATAAACTTCTCTCTTAGGACTGTTTTCTCTGTGTTCTGAAGTTCTGATATGTTGTACTGTTGCTATTGTTTAGTTCTAGAAACTGTCTTTCTTTTTTTATTTTCTTCTGTAACCTATTGTTTGAGTATGTTGTTTCATTGCCATGTATTTGTATAATTTCTGTGGAGTTTTTGTCATTGATTTTTAGTTATTGCAGGATGATAATATGAATGGGATAATTTCATTTCACTTACATTTTTTAAGTTTGCTTTATTGGCTAGTGTATAATTTGTTTTGGAGAAGTTTCATGTGCTCCTGAGAAGAACATGTATTCTGTTGTTGGATGGAATACTCTGTATCTATTAAGTTCGTTTGTTTAAAGATTTTGTTCAACTCTGATATTTCTTTGTTGAACTTCTTTGTTGAATTTTGAATTCTATTAGTCCTTTGTTGCTGTGATAGTGGGGTATTGATGTCCCCTACTGTAATGGTATTTATCTGGTCTTTTATGTCCGGAAGTACTTGTTTTATGAAGTTGGGTATACTCTTGTTTGGTGCATATATTAATAATTGTTATCTCTTCCTGTTGCCTTGTTCCTTTAACTACTGTATAGTGACCTTTTTTTGCCTCTTTTGATTATTTTTGGCTTGAAGTTCACTTTGTCTGAACATAGGATAGATACCTGTGTTTTGGGGGAGGGGGTTCCTGTTGCATGGAAAATTGTTTTCCATCCTTTACTTTTCAATTTATGAGGTGTGTTTGGTTTTTTGTTTGTTTGTTTTTTGTTTTGTTTTTGTTTTTGTTTTCTTTTGTTAAATGTGCTTCTTACAGCATATTGTTGGAGTTTGTTTTTTATGTCTTTTGATTGGAGATTTGAAACAATTCACATTGAGTTATTACTGATAGATATTGACTTATTCTTGTCATGGCCTTACTTTCTTGTTGCTGATTTTCTCTCTTTACCTTCTTAACTGCTCACCCTACCTGGTGTATTCATTCTGTTCTGTTAGACCTTTTGTCACAGTTTCATTTTCTCTTTTTGTGATATCCTTGAAAATTTTTTGGAGTGCCAGTTTGGCATTCATGAATTTCTTTAACTGCTTTTTATCATGAAAATATCTTATTTCTCCATAAATATTTGAAAGATAGTTTTGCATAATATACAGTAAATTGTCTACTTAAGAACAAGTTCAAGAAATGTTGCAGGAAAGTGTTTGTAAGTTGAATTTGTAAGTCTGACAAAAGGAGTCTTACATGCTTTTGACAGAAATATGCAGAATAAAGCTTTTCCTCTTGCTTCTGGACATTCTCGGCTCTGAGCATTGTACACTATAGCACTGTACAGTAAGCACACAGCAATGTAAGTGTGACAGTGTCCAGCAATTATGTGGACTATTTCCACAATTTGTTCACAATTTAAATGTTTGTAAGTCGGGGACTTACTATATTACTCTGGGTTGGAAATTGTTTTCTTTTAGAGGTTGAAACACTTCACTCGAAATTCTCCTGGCCTTTGCAGTTTGTGTTGGGACGTCTACTGTAATTCTAATGAGTTTACCTTTATAAGGTATTTGTTGCTTTTTTCTAATCACTTTTACGTGCCTGTGTTGTGTTTCTTATGTTGGGTTTCTGAGATTTTGACTGTGTTGTGGAGAGTTTCACTCCTGATCATGGCTGTTTGGAATTCTATATGCTTCACTTATCTATAGGTTAATTATTTTCCCTTATTTAGAAAGTTTTTTGCTATTATTTCAGTAAACACTTTTTTTTTTAAACGGGGGAATCAAATTTGGGTCCTTGAACTTGCAAGGCAAGTTGTAGGACCACTGAGCTAAATTCCTAGCCCAGTGAACACATTTTCTATGCTATTTGTGCTGTCTTCTGATTTTTCACTAATTCCAGTTCATCTTAAATTACTCTTCTTTGTGTTGTCTAGAACTTGTTGGATTCCTTTTTCCTTTTTGTGGTTTTTTTAAGGTATCATTAATCGGTTACTGATAACAGTCCTATCTTCTAGTTCTGACAGTCTGTCTTGCCATTGGTCATTTCTCTTGTCACTTTCAATGGAAATTTTAATCTCCTGAGTCTGTATTTAGAGCCTTTTTTAATTTTAATTTTGTTTAGCTTCGCTAACTTAATTATTGTCTTCTGTATACTCACTGATCATTGTGTTCATTTGGCTCACTGTCTGTTTACTTACATCTTCTGTGAACTTGCTGAATGCCTTATTGATCTTTTTTGTTATCTCCACTGATATCATTTTGAGTAATGTGGGCAGGTGGCTTTTGTTTTCTTTCCCTTCAGTGCCCCATGGGTCAGCTTCAGGAAAGTTGGGAGATTTTGGAAGCATTTTTTGGCATGTCTTGTAATGTTTGTTTTTTTATTTGTTTTTTATGTTGAGACTTACAAGTTGATTGCAATGGAAAGCTTTCTTTCTAGTATGGAGACCTCTTTGATTAGTCTCTACTTTTTGGCAGTGTCCTCTAGAGGCTATTGACCTTTCCTCTGTGCTAGGCTCCAACCACTCCCTTTACTTGGGAGAGGAGGTTGCATTGTTTTTGGCCCAGTACCCAGTATCTTAAGAATGGGCAATAATATTGTTAAGGATCCTAAGGCAATCAAGATATTGTCATCCAAGTAAATCATTTAATGGCAATAACTATGTCATTTTGACTATTGTAATGTAACCAGCATCAAATACAAACTGAACACATATAAATTCTAAGAGCCAGTAAAAGTACCACCCTCAACCATAGATAACAGACCAATAATTATACTGTGAGCATGAGACTATAGCAAAAGCAATTCTAGGCAACAGATTCAAAGCAGGGAATATCATAATCCTTGACTTGAAATTATGCTGTAAAGCTACTGTGATAGTATGGAGATACCTCAAAGAACTAGGATTGGAAGTCTTATTTGACCCAGCTATCCCCCTGTTGGGTATCTTCCCCAAAGAATTAAAAGAATCATACTACAATGATATGTGTGCACCCATGTTCATAGCAGCACAGTTTGAAATAGCTAAAACTTGGAAGCAGCCCAATTGCCCATCAACTGGAGACTGGATAAAGAAGATGTGTTATTTTTTATAAAATGGAGTACTATTCAGCCACACAAAATGAGAAATTAGAGACATTTATAGCTAAATGGATGAACATTGAGACCATACTCTTAAGTGAAACAAGTAGGACTCACACGTGTAAATACTGAATAGTTTCTCTGGTGTGAGAAACTGAAAATGTAAATAAGAACCAAAAGGTATAATAGATAATGTGAAATAGGAAGAAAAGAGACAAAGGGTAATGGGAAATGGGAGGGGTAGGGGAAAACAAAGAAGGGAATGGAATTAATACGAGAAAATGGAAACAAAGTCTTTGTAGATATGGAGAGATGGAGTGGTTGAAGGGAGGGCAAGAGAATGAAGAAAAAATAAGAACCAAGATGGATTATGTAAAGGTGCAAATTTCCAATGCTGAGTGGCATTATATTGTATACCTTAAATGTACCAATAAAATAAAAAACAAAACAAAAAAATCATCATACTGGCAAAAAACAGACCCAGGATCAATGGAACAGAATAGAACATACA